CGCATTACTGCCTGAAGTTCCCAGATTCATGCTGAATAAAACCAGTAGGCAAACAAAATAGGTCCTAATGCTCGCCTTAACAAAGCTGTCTCCGCATTCTGTTTTTTCTCACATAGATATCCTGCCTATAAGATTCCAAATTAATAAAGTTTGTTGATTCAATTGCGTGCTTTTATTGCCTATGTGTGGAGGTCAATGTGAGCCCATACTTGTTCTTTATCTGAAAGTCCTATTTATTTTGTTTATCGCCTAGATTTCACATTTTTAAGTAACATAGGTTGGTCTAGACCATCCCAAATAGAGGTCCTAATACCTCCAGGGCCATAAGTTAGGGACGGGTAGTGCACGCATAAGGAACGAGTTAGAAATTACTAGAACGCTTAAGTAACAACTTAAAGATAGTAATTGGGTAGTAAGGAGATGATAGCCCGTGCGCTAATGCTATGAGTAACACCCCGACTTGAGGGAGTTACAAAGTATTGCATGGAATGATTCTATAGGCTAAAAAACTTAGGACCACCCCCCTATACTCCTGTTTAAAATAAATTGAATATTGTATTTGTCCAAATTGTTTTCTTCCCCTTTTAGACTAATTCGCTTCATTTAAGTTCGGCCGGGATCCACCGTTGTGGACCGCGAGGGATGCCTAACACCTTCCCCTCAAAGTAATTTCGAGCCCTCACCCGATCTCTGGTGATGTAAACTGGTTATATGATTTATTTGCTCTAGGTGCGCTAACGCACCTTAATCCGTTAGGTGGCGACTCTTCCAATTCCCTACCCTCTCAAAAAAGAGTTGTCCCAGAAATGTCGAAACTCGATTTCGCGAGAAAAAGGGGGCGCGACATTACCTGTTGGGGGAGCTGGTTGCTCATTGGTGGTCGTTATAACATCTGCCGGCGCGGCATTTCGGTTCGCTCTTTGAACGGGTTTGCCGAGTATGTCATTGAGGGTACTTGTCAGCCACTCCTCCAATAATTTCTTTACTGCGGGTGGTGCTTCCTCAGCTGTGGACGTGGAAGCTCCCCTTTCGCGTGAAGTAGTTACACTTTCATGAGGAGGGGGTGAGTCATATTCTCATTGTCTTCTCTGCCATCCTCGTTGAGAGTGTTCAAAATATTCGTTGTGACACCTGCTATTGCTTTCTGTCTTGCGTCTCCTTTTCCTGCCATTGTTAGTTTATGCAAACGAGGAAAAGATGGTTGTCCCTTTTCATGATCTAGAAGAAACTAAAATTTTAACTAAAAACTCCCCACAGACGGCGCCAAATTATTTGACCAAAAAGTGTTAAGCCTTTTAGTTAAATCAATCAATGATAAGAAGAAGGGTGAATCTTAGTTAACGATAATAAAATCTAGACCAAATATTAAATGAAGTAGGCGAAATGACCAACATTAGCTAGTATGTTTGAGCTGATTAAATGCTCATGAATGCAACAACATAAATGTGCAATAAATATAGATAAATGCGACAAGCATAACAAAAGGTAATTTACTACCCAATTATTGTAATATTCGGATGGTTCTTTCCCCTGACAGCAGCGTGGAAAGAAGGGAATAAAAGATGGTTCTGAGATCTTTGGTTCTTGTGAATATAGAATCAAAAAATATATGCTGGAATAATGTATTCAATGAACAAGACAACTTTAGTATATTCTCTCAGGTCAACCTTTTACAAAGTATTTTTCTTCTCATACAAATGAAGATCTCCTTTTTTGTTCTCTATCTCTTCCTATTTATAAGGGACATTTCCCAAAAACCCTAATAAGTACAAAATAAGGAATATTCAAAGGAATATTCCTTATATCCATATCTGAACCTATGCTACTGTTATCCATTCACCTCAGCTGCCCGTCTTTGGCATCAGTCTTCTTGAGAGCCGCCTTCAATTATCACACCGTGGTCGACCCGTCCGCAGTCTGGCTTATCCACTGTTGCCAAGTCGCCAAATTTCGACCAATACAATAATAATTAATTAAAAATGATCAAAAATGCATTTATTTCATGTAAAAGTTATAATTTTCTTGTTTCTTCTCTTTCTTTCCTCTATTCAATAATTATAATCGCAATCCACAAGTATGACTGTAATCAATGAATCGAGAAATATGACACACACACATATATATGTTTATATACATATATATGTTTGTGTGTGTGACTTATATATTGTTATCGAGAAATACGACTTATATATCAATTGAAAATGCAAGTTATAAAATGCAATTAAGAAATGGGACTAATAATCACAATTGACAAATGCTGACTTATAAATCGCAACTGAAAAAGGTACTTATATACGACTTATAATCGCCATTGGAGAATGCGACTTGTAAATCAATCAGAGAATGCTGACTTGTTGTCAAGGTTGGGCAGAGCCTCCCTTTGCTTTCAATAGTTTGGTTTGTTGATGAGTGATGTTCCCTCAAGTGCAGGTTTCTAAGATAGACTTGCAAGAATTTTCAGTTTTTATTGTTTTTTTTTTTTGTTTCTCATTCGGTGATCGGTACCCGTATTGAAGCCCGACTATATCCCGGTTCGCGCCAAGTAGGGCCTCTTCGGGTGGTAGTGGTTCCTACCAAGGATTTTTTCATACCCAGGGTTCGAACCCGAGACCTCTGGTTAAGGAATAAGCAGCCTTATCCACTACACCACGTCCTTTGATGGTCAGTTTTTATTGTTAAGAGAGAGAAACTCTACAACTATGTATATTATTGTACTGTATGAAATCCTAGAAAATCATGTTCTTCAATATTTTAAATACAAAATCAGTAAACCAACTGCTTAAACTACTCTTTAAACTTTCGTTCGTTGAACTTGACTTGCATTGAGTTCATAACAATCATTAGAGAATATATGCCTGACTTGTATGCATGAAAAAACTTAGATAGGTACATGAACTCAATGTTTAATTTGTTTATTAAGTTTTAATTGTATAATTCGGTTTGATGTATTTTTTTAATTGATTCCTTAAAATTTGATAATGATGTTTTATTTTACGTTGCTTTACAGAGTCATAGGACCATTTATGCCACCAAAGAAAACCACAACATGATTAACACTCTTGACTTTTTGATTGGTTGAATTTTTGCTTATTGCTTTGACCTTTGACAAATTAAAGTAGCTAAGCTTAGTGACGTAAAGTTCAAAATTGAAGAATTTCTTTTATTCGGAGTAATTTTACGGATAGTCATCCAACTTTTCTTCGCAATGTCGCACGTAGGTATTTAATTTTTTTTTAGACGAGTACGATTTTTTTTTTTGGTTTTTTTTAAAGTGGTGCGACGTGGATATTTTTGGCCATAGATTTTGTCAAATTTGGATTTTTTTGGCAAATACATGTTTGTTCATAAATTTTATTCATATGAGCTGGTTTTGGCCCAAAATATTACTATTACATTTTTAAAAAATTGCCCCATACTTTTGTATTTTATAAAAGAGCCTACCATTTATTATTTTGTAAGAATGTTGCTTCATTTTCTCGGTCATCTGATAGTGTATTATGTAATTCATTATAAAAATGATAATTTTATACCAAGTTTATTTATGTTCAGGACTATAGTTTGCGATAATATAATGAATGTTATTGATGAAGGGTATTTGTGATAGTTTTTAGAACTTGTGGGTATAAGTCATATTTCATGTTTTTTCAACAACCAAAAAAAGTGAAATATGTTTTGAAAACTGATGTCCAAACACATTTTCATCTTCAAACCAAATTTCACCCAAATCAAATTTTTCAAAACAAATTTAGGAATTTATGGCCAAACGCTAGCTTAATTTCTCTCTCACCTTATTGTTTTAATTTTCTGGCTTGAGATAGTTACAAGTTAATAGTATGTGAGATAGCAAATTAAATTAGCACTAAACAAGATTATATGCAATGTCTTTTTTCTGTATATTAACCTTTAGCACTTTGAATGATTTTGAAAGGGTAGAGAAAAGGAGTTGCCTACAACGACAAAACTGGCCAGCTTTAAAGGGACAAGAGGAATAATTCATTTGAGTATTAATAAAAATTCCTTTTTTTTTTGGCAGCAGAATAAACACTAATGAAGAAGACTTTGGCTGAAATATTCTTATTAAATTTCTCAATGGAATCAAAGACGACCCACGTCTGTTGATACTTTGTGGCTTGCTTTATTTTTTTCTTCCTTAATATATAGAAGAAAAAAGAAAAGAAAAAAAAGTCGAAGAAATAATACCTTCTGAATTGTTTATTATACTCCAAGCAATTGAGAAGTTGCACTATCTAGGAGTATCTATGGGATGGGATAGATAAGATCCCTTCATCCTTAATTCGAACTGTTGAAATTGAAATTTTTTTGATAGGGTGTGTGTCACCCTTTAATCGGTCATATGCAGTGCGCAGATCCTAATTAGTCGGACCAATAGATTTCAGATATCATATCAACAACAACAACGATAATCCAGTATAATTCCACTAGTGGGATCTGGGAAGGGTATTGTGTACGCAGACCTTACCCTACCCTAGAGTAGAGAGGTTGTTTCCGATAGACCCTCGGCATCCTTCCCTCCGAGAACTCCCCACCTTGCTCTTGAGGTGACTCGAACTCACAACATATTCATTGGAAGTGGAGGGTGCTTACCACTAGAGCAACCCACTCTTGTCAAATTTCAGATATCATATTATATTAAAAAAATTGGAGTAGTGCCATATACGGTCAAACCTCTCCATAAAAGCCTCATTTGTTCCGATATTTTTTGGCTGCTATAGAGAAGTGCCGTTATAGAAGACATATATGATCACATAACATAAAATTGGTTCCGAGAAAAACTTGACTTTTATAGGTAATAGTTTATATATAGGGATGTCGTTATCGAGAGATCTGACCGTAAATGGTTATGTTGATGGTGATTGGCCACTTCTATTAAAAATATATGAGAAAAAAGGTCTTGCACGCTCATCAACTTTACAAACTTTTTTTCATTCAATCATTTATATCCTTTCTTAAGAAGCATATCTCTTTTATTATTTGTCCTCACTGATCTGTCAGCATCTTTTCTTTGCTTCTAATACAAATTCCTCTTTATTTGCCCATAAAGAAGAAGAAAAAAAGTACCTATATATTTGTGCTTTTAACTCTATTCTTTAGTTTCTTGTCAACTCTATTGAATAGAGTCACTAAACAAGAGTATAGTAAAATGGGAAGGCAGCCATGTTGTGATAAAGTTGGATTAAAGAGAGGTCCATGGACTATAGATGAAGACCATAAGCTGTTGAACTTTATTCTTAACAATGGCATTCAATGTTGGAAAATGGTTCCCAAGTTTGCAGGTTTCATTTTTTGCTCTCTATCTGTATTTATTATATCTTTCTTTTTGTGCTAATCATCTGGTATCCGAAGTACACTCGGCTCGACTAATTCAGACTCGTGCCCGATATGACCATTGAGGGATAAAGTGCTTTGTACCCTTAGGTATCATTTGGTACGAGGGATAAGGGATAATAATCCCGAGATTAAATTTGAGGTGAGTTTATCCCATATTTGGTTGGGATAAAATCACAGTATAACTAATCCCGAAATCAGTTATCCCGGAACTGGAGTGTTATTTTATCCTTATGGGAGGTTGGATAACAATCTCGGGATAACTAATCCTGAGATAACTTGTTTTCCAACCAAACGACCCTTAGTTCTCTATTTCTTAGGATCGAACTCGAGACTTCTGATTAAGAGTGGAGGGATCTCAACCATCCTGCTACACTCCAACTTGATGATGTATGTATATATCATAGCTGCAACGCCTACACGCGGAGTTTTGCAGCTCGCATATTTTAAAAAAAAAAATCCTATATAGATGATTAAAAGTACAATGCTTAATTTGTGACACTGAATTATTGTGTGAGGAAGGTTTGCAGAGATGTGGAAAGAGTTGCAGACTGAGATGGATTAATTATTTGAGACCAGATCTTAAAAGAGAGCCACTATCAGAAGCTGAAGAGAATCAGATTATACAACTTCATGCCTGTTTTGGTAACAGGTTTGTTCATTTGAGCTAGAATAGAGCAATATTATTGCATGTCTTTTACCACTTAATGTTGATTCAGATAAGGATTAAAGTTATATACACTGAAAAGTAAATAACTTTTATACTATGAGTTTAATTTAACTGATATAGTAGGTTATTATTCTATTTTTCAGAGAGTTTAACTTCTATGCATTGTCACTGTAAAATTTTCAGCTCATCTAAAAGATAATTACATATAATCATCCGTAAAAATGAGATAAATAACTTGAAAATTAAGCAAGTTGCCTGGTATAACATGTTACAATACATGGTAGTGCAAAAATCTTTACATTATTAGTGTATGTAAGTTAATCACTTTTCAGGTTACCATATCAGACAAAGTTATTAAGAGTTAACTGCTGTTGTAGGCCAACTTAATGTGATTATGAAAAAACTTTATACAATTGTTTGTTATTATTCTATTGTCGCTTTTCGTCTTCTTGTGCCGAGGGTCTATCGGAAACTGCCTTTCTACCCTAGGGTAGGGGTAAGGTCTGCGTACACACTACCCTCTCCATACCCCACTTGTGGGATTATACGGAGTTATTGTTGTTGTTGTTGGTGTTTGTGTATAAAACTTAAAACTTTTCTTTTAAACCCTTTATGCAGGTGGTCTAAGATAGCATCACATTTTCCAGGCCGGACTGACAATGAGATCAAGAACCACTGGAACACTCGGATTAAGAAGAGATTAAAGCTTCTTGGAATAGACCCTTTAACTCACAATCCAATTGAGCCACTTAATCTTGAAAATCTTGAACAAAAACCAGATGAGACGATCATACAATCCAACATGCCAACAACACATGATCATGAAACAGAGAATTCGTCGACAAGTAGTGAAACTAAGAAGACAGAAACAGACATCAAGACTGATGATATTACTAATGATTTCTCAGTAGTAGACAATGAGTACTCCAACTTGTGTGGAAACTTGGATGTGGACTTGTTGAGCAATACTACTAAAACTATGTCATATTCTTTGGAAATTGCTGAATCCATCAATCTTTCATCAGCATCAGTTGCTACAGAATCCTCAAGTAATGTTGTCCCTGCAGAAGGACAGGACTCTATACAGCAATGGTTTTACAGTGTGGATTCACTTTTCTCATATGGGACAACAATGTCAATCAACATGGAGTTGGAGAAGACTTTCTTTTGGAGAAACTACAACCATTGATTACTCTATTTTTGTTCCTCCTATCTCTCTCCACAGCTACATCTATCTTTTTCTATCATTAGTATTCCAGAATTAATACACAACTTTCTCAAATTCATTTTCAAAAAGAGGTCCTTTCTGTTATTGAACTACTGCCGTGTGATGCGAGAAGCGCAAAAAAGCTCTAAGGTCTGTTGGGGTTTTAAGCGCAAAACGCAAATAAAGCATGGGCTTTAACGAAGAAAGGCACAAATGGAGAAAAATTACAAATATGTTTGTGAAGTCCAAGACTAATATCTATAAGCATGTATACCAAATATATGGGCAAAGAAATTGAAGAAAATTTACGATAAAGTGAAATATCAATTGTTTAGTGTCGCCTCTTTCAGATTACGCTCGTTAGCAAGGAAAAGTATGCCTTAGAACCTCGATGACAACATTGAAGCGCCTATTAAGCGAGGTGTACCGCTCAACATGTTTCTTAAGCGCGCCTTTGATAACACTGCGATGAACATGACTTGTAAACTACACTAGTCAGATTGGAAAAACTTGTCAAAAAGAAAAGTCGATATCACATCATGTTAAGAGTTCGGTTATCATCTTTCGTCAATCAGCCAACTAGCTAAAGAAAACATGCGAGGCATGGCACCAATATTGTTTCTTCATACTTACATAATCACAAAAGAGGAAAGTTACTGAAGCAGTTTCTTTTCTTTTAATAAGTTTCTTTACTTCATAACTGGTGTACAACAACAACATATATGCCTCAATCCCAAGCAAGTTGGGGTTGGCTATATGAATCCTCATTGTCTCGCTCCATTTAGCTCATCTACTTCAGAATAACTGTGTGCATGATTAAAATATATATTTTCTATTTTACAGTGGAGACAAATTTTCATATGAATGATGCATTATACTTCTTCTTTGTTTTCATGATCGGAAGATTTAAGTAACGGTTTCTTGCCTATCACATCAACATCTCGAGAAGTTGCAGTCTTCCAAGCAGGATAGAGCACATAATGTTGCAAAATGAAGAGAATGTCAAAGAATATTGATATCTGCAACATTCATCCACCAAACCAAACAGTAGTCAGAGCCTCATGATACTAGCAATGGAAAAGAAAATACTAACAGTATCCTCATGATACTATCCCGGTATCTTAGGCTTCAATTTCAGGAAAAGAAAATTGTCTAACAAAGGGGAAAGATCATAGAAGATATTCATAAGACCAAGCCGATCCCTGTTTCATACTAATAAGGCCTTGCACCATTTCTAGTGGTAAGTTGCTGCATTTCCTTGTAAGTGTAACCCCTCATTACCTCATTACTTGATCTATTTCTTTTTCAGAAGTCCGCTATGATCTAACACTATGGCATATGAGCCGTTAAAGTGGACAAAGTGGTTTCGGAAGAACATAAAAGAACTGAACGAAGTAAAGTTTCTAAACAGTGAAATCAGGTATAAAAGCTATAGACATGATGATTGCAGCAAATAAATTAGATGGATAGACGTTCCGTACCAGTGACAATAAAGTCTTGCCTATGTTTCCATAAAAGTTCACCCAGGAATCTGTGGAAAAGGAGTTTCAGGCAGTATATTAAGCACAATTATAACTTCTCTAAGACTTTACTAGAAAATTAACAAGAGACCACAAATTATTTCTGAAGAAGTCCATATATTTGACAGACAAAAACTCACTTTGATCTATGGATTGCACTGTCATCTGTCCATAATTCGTCAGACCTCCAAGCAAGTCCAGCAAAATGTTGCCAATACTAAATCCAATAGTACTCTTCCGCTGAAAGTTCATAACAGCCTATAGATTTGAAAGAGGCAAGAAGTTAATCCAGGCTGTAAAAAAGAGACAACCAAATAGAGGGCCCAATTGATCGGAAGGTGCAAGAATTTTGAAAACAAACAAGCTGAACGAATGCAGTTATTACCTGAGGAATGTACTTAATCACTGTCATAACAACCTGCAACGTGCTGCAATCAAGAGTCAAACATAAAACATTAGCACTTGGAACATGCACATTAGCAATGAATCTAAATAACTCATACACCAAATATAGAAGTATAAACACTTGCCTTTTATAAAGAAAATGACAAAGAAGATATCAAGCTAATAAGGTACTTCATAAGTACACACAAACACCCTCCACCCCACCCATCTTTGGTCTAGTGGTAAGAGCTCAGCACATGATGTGTGGGTTAGGCGCACATCACATGTTGGAACCTTGCGCAGACAAAAGCCTGGTATTTAAGTGGAAGGGTAGAGGGACGGCCCATTATCCATTGAGTTTCGAACCGTGTACCACTAGCCTCGGGGATTTCTCGGTTATCCAAAGGAAAAAGGTATTCCGGAAGTGGCCAGTGAATAGGCTGATCTATGATAATCTATTACTATACAAATCTCTTATCCTTTAAGCAAACAGTCAATAATTGGTGCCTTATTGGTTAGTACTTATTTATCTTGGAAGAAGAGAGATAGATAGCACGGGCAGCGCTAGCCTTCTAACTTCAATCAAAATAATGGATAAAATTTTCTAGGAGAGGGCTCTTACTTGAAGCAAGAAACCAGCCAAAGCCAGGAATGGCTGGGGAGAGCTATGAACACACAAACTGCAACAGTTAACCAAGCAACAAACACGATCGCTATAGAAGTCTTTGCAACCTTCTGGTTTCCACGCTGTAAAGAAAGCAATCAACATCAAAGTGAGTAAAAAGGCATTTATCAGGGTCTCCATCCTTCACCTCATTTCCAGTTCCCTAAAGAGCAAATAGGAATGGTTCACTTACATCATAAATAGCAATCTGAAACAGGGTAAATGCTGTCAATAGAACAGCATGGACTGAGAAAGCAACATCATTTGCAGCCACAGGTATCATCTGCAGTTAAACAAGAAACGCTATAAGCATGCAAGTCATTAAATTACATGGAACCTTCCTTCACGTAATAATTCAATGAAGTTAGCAAGAGATCAAAGTGCTAACAGTTCTTAAGAATGAGACAAGACAAAAGTAGTTAGCAATGAAAACCCACTGGATTTCTTTCCAAACTAAAGATTTGCTTTCATCAGCTTTCTTGTACTTTCTCCTTTTGGTGTCTCACCAGCTTGTGTGACTCGACTAGCCCACCGGGCAGCTTGCTAGAACTCATAAGGACAGGTGCCACATAATCCGTCCCACCAAAGATGGGCTTAAGCTAGTGTTGTAGTAGCTAAGATTTTCCTTTCTTTTATGATGGTGGTGTCGGGGCCAAGCTTACGCGTACCTCGACTATTCCACCGTATACCTTCTACCTCCCACCAGCACTACCTCCCACCAGCACACGTACCATGAACTCTGCCAACCAAGGCTTAGGCAAATGGGAAGAATCACCTAGTGTTTTCTATGCCTCGACCTAAGATTTGAACATAAGACCTCATGGTTCTAAGTAGTAGCTACGAATTTGAACCTGAGATCTATAGGTTATTACTCCTATGCTTAAATCACTCAAATTTCCATTCAGTAGTTTGTTTTAAACCTCGATCCTACTTAAGTGCCAATTTAAAATTAGTAATCTATCTTAATTTTTTGTCCCCATATATATATAATTCGAACAGAAAGCAGCGGAATTAAGCTAGAAAACCACAAAAAACAAAAAAGTCAAACCTCATTATAGCCATATTTCTGACGATACTGCATCTGAACAGCAGAACTAAAGAACATGGAAGCATTATAAATGAGATAAGACGAGTGCTTTGTCAAATTCAATACCACGAAATCGAAATTCAACCCCACCACACTGCGTTTCAATACAAAAAACAAAAAGGGTCAAAATTAAAATCCATAAAGATATGAACTTTAATGTAAAAAAAAAAATAGAAGGAAAATATAAAGGGAGGACCTTTTGCGTCGGAAATTCAAGATGACTTGAGGGTAAAAACTAATGGACCAAGAGAAAAAAGCAATCCATCCTAAAGTATTGTACAGAACTTCCAGAGGAATTGAATTCCACGACGCCATAACTTACTCTTTGGATTGTTTTTCTCCAAATCCAAACAAATGAATGAGTGAATCTTTATATTTGTAGTGAAGTGAAGATTCTTTTCTGGTGATGAAATATGAAGGTTAAGCCAATGGACTCATTGATGCGCCTGGGAAAAGAACGGGTCCCAAAGATGTGGCTTTTTATGTAAATGAACGTGGCGAGGAATTGCGTCTCAATTCACACCACTTCCATGTAAAAATAACACCACGCAGCCGCTCTACAGCCTGCTATTTAGGAGTTAGCCCTTAGGTTTTGTATTTTAGTTTTTCTGTTAAGGACAAAAATATTCTGAATTATTCTAAATTTAAGATTTTTAGTTTAAAATTTCAGGATAAAATAAGTACAGGTTAATCTCTAAATAGCATCCTTGAAAATAGCATCCTTAAAATAGCCGCTTTTAGGAACCCATTTAAGACGGGCAAAATATTTACTTTAAATTTCTATAAGTTTAATCATTTCAAAATCCAAAAAAAAATACAGAAATATGATACTTCCTTCGTTCCAATTTATGTGAATATGTTTGACTGGGTATGGAGTTTAAGAAAAAATAAAGACTTTTGGTATTTGTGGTCCTAAACAAGTTAAAAAGGGGCCCAGAGTATTTGTGTAGTTATAAAAGCTTCTCATTAAGGGTAGAATTGTAAGTTTAAGCTAAATTGTTTCCAAATTTAGAAAGCGGTCATTTTTTTTGGAACGAACCAAAAAGGAAATAGGTTCACATAAACAGGAACGGAGAGAGTACTTTTTAGGGTGATTTTTAACTTTTGACTCCCATTTGCCAAATGAGCAGAACTTCAAGGTCAAAAGTTAAAAATATTGCACATAAAGCAAGCGAAAAGCAACACTTATTAAATTTAAGGTTCTACCCATAATACAAGTGGGAAAAAAGTTTAGAATCACCTACTTTAAAGACTATTTGTGTACTTCACGGCTTCACCCTTTCAAAACCACATTTCGATCATGAAAATTTCAGATAATACGGTGCGAAGTTGGGCTTGCCAAAGGCAACTCGCACTTTTCAAATCATAATCTGAGATAAACTCGATAGAAAGAGAAGAGAAATGTACGAGAAGATTCTAGAACAAGAGCTCCATTGGAGAGGAAAATTAGCTAAGATAATTTCTCAGATCTAATGAATACAATGACTAATAGTCTATATATACAGACTAACTACGGTTAACTGACTCTACTCTTCTGTTAATT